AAGTGCTTATTTAGCCATTTCCAAAAAGAGAAAGTATGCTGACCTTACGACAATCTGTTTAATGAACTCATACTAGAATCACATCTTCTACCCTTTCCAACCTTTCTTCTATTTGCACAAGAGAACTAAATTCCGGTAGCTGGCTGTATACTACGTATCACAAAAAAAAATTTTTCTTTTTGGCGAATTTTTCTTTTAGCTCTTTTATCAAACATTTTTATTTCCTCATTTGCGTCTTAGGTTTCTCCCATAAATCTTCTTTCACAGCCTAGATGTCTCACATATGAAACCTCTATATCCTAGGACTCTGGTGGCTATAGTCAGCCGCCAAGATACTGGGCATAAGGCATATTCTGCACCAGTGTCATATATATATATATATATATATATATATATATATATATATATAATATATATATATATATATATATATATATATATATATATAGCTTTTTAATAGCCGGCGTATCCGATGATGTCATTATTCTCAGTAGCATTCAACTGATCATGTAAAGTATAAATTGAAAAATAAACGAATTTTTGTTATTATGGTAATCGATAAAATATATACGAGGTAACTCGTAAAATATAAATTGAAAAAATTTAGAAGTTTTACGCTAATGGTTGTAGGTTTTAATTACAAAAAAATACGAGGAAAAATTGCTCTCTTTGTCTGTCATTCGTCTTCTTCTCTTTGTCAATTCATAGAACGCAGTCACCGACCAGCGATTGTACATCGTTCTCATTGGTTACGTTGGACGTGTAGCTTCGTTATTATTGGGGGGGGGCGTCTTTTCGGGAGGAATGGGGGGACTGAGAACGTCTTTTCGGGGGGAATGGGGGGGACTGGGGGCGACTTTTCGTTAATATTGTGGTACGACTCCACCATTAGTCGATGCACGTCTTTCTCATTGGCCGTTGATGCACACCATTGGCCTCCAACGTCACGAGGATGTCCGCCATTGGTTGAGGACACGTTTCTGTGGCATCATTGGTCGAGAAAAACGTTCTAACGTCACGAGGAGGGTGTTACTATGACACCATTGGTCCCTCATCGCTATACCGCCATTTCTATGTTGTTTATTCAAATTCTAAGCTGTCATTGGTCGCTGGGGGTGTTGCTATTCCCACCACTGACGCTGCTATGTTGCCATTGGTCAACGACACGTTCCGACGTCACGAGGACGTCCTCCATTGGCCAGCAGGCCATTGGGGGACGTTCCTATGCCACCATTGGTCTGCTATTCCCACCACTGACGCTGCTATGCTGTCATTGGTCGACGACACGTTCCGACGTCACGAGGAGGGCGTTACTATGCCACCATTGGCCTGATATTCCCACCACTGACGCTGCTATGCTGTCATTGGTCGACGACACGTTCCGATGTCACGAGGAGGGCGTTACTATGCCACCATTGGCCTGATATTCCCACCACTGACGCTGCTATGCTGTCATTGGTCAACGACACTAGTGATGTAACGAATATTCGCATTCGCATTCGCATTCGCGAATATTCTCATATTTTTGCATATTCGCATTTGCATTCGCATTCGCAAAATTTGTGCGAATGTTTTGCGAATATTACACAGCTTGCATTTAGCTCGTTCAGTATCGAAAAGTGGTGAAAAATAAGTCCATATTTCACTATAATTTGATTTACTCATAGTAATAAATCGCTAATCATACTTTAACTAAAAATTCACTTGTATTTGTGCACGAACAGAGCAGGGCAAGTGGAGTGACTTGTGTCCCGTGAAATTTTTATTGGAACTATAACCAGAGAACTTAGTTCTCTGCTATAACTTTATCTCTATAACAAGTCAAATTTGATTTTAACAAGAGAAAATAAGATCGAAAAACTTGCTTTCTACGTTTTTGGCCCGGACGTGACTATAAATAAATACCTTTTTAAACGACCCCTCAATAAACTTAACCGCCTACAATAAACTTCTTTACAATAAATACAACTGTTTCACATCTTTACTTTAGCAAATATGATAGAATGATACTGGACAATTTAAAGTAGTTAAAAATGACAGACTTTTTCCAGTTGCCTACACACCTCGCGCAAATGAGACTGCCGACAGTGCCGGAGACAATTAAAATTGCCAAATTAAAAAAAAAAAACTGAATATTCGCATTCGCATTCGCGAATGTCGGTGGCATATATTCGCATTCGCATTCGCATTCGCGAATGTTTAAAAAATGACATTTGTTACATCACTAAACGACACGTTCCGACGTCACGAGGAGGGCGTTACTATGTCACCATTGGTTCCTCATCGCTAGACCGCCATTTCTATGATGTTTATTCAAATTCTGAGCTGTCATTGGTCGCTGGGGGTGTTGCTATTCCCACCACTGACGCTGCTATGCTGCCATTGGTCGACGACACGTTCCGACGTCACGAGAACGTCCACCATTGGTCAGCAAGACATGGGGGGACGTTCCTACGCCACCATTGGCCGAGGGGCGTGGTCTAGAGACACGAGGTACGTTCCTACGTCACCATTGGTCGAGGGGCGTGGCCTCGAGACCCTAGGCACGTTCCTACGTCACGAGGGGGGGCGTGGCCTTGGCCCATGAGGATACGTACGCTTGACGATCGACGTGTGACGTCACTTCCGCTCCAGAAGGAACCCTATCTATCTACTATTATATATTATATATAAAGGATATATTATATATATCCTTTATGTTGAGCTAGCTTAGCTGTCAGCCACATCTTGTAAAAGTGGTTTTTCTCTTTTATTAATTCCTTTATCTTGTCAGACAGCCAAGGACATTCTGATTTTTTGCACCCACTTTCTGTTCTTAGTACTTCCTCTATAACCTTAGTACCCTTTAGATTAAGGTACTTTTCCTCTGTTATTGAGTTATGTTCTTTAATGCGTTTAATAACTATACATTATTCTTCTTTGGAATAGGTCTTTTATTCTGTCTTGTTTTAGGAGAAATAGTGGATATCTTATATTTTTTGCAATATCTGCAGAAGCATTATTCTGTTCTTCAGCCCTTATTGCATTTCCTATATATTTAGGAATATAGGATATGTAAGAAATTTCAAATCATGAATGGCGTATCAGTTTAACCATCCTATAATTGACCACAAACAATACAGTGTAATTCTTTGAAAGAATCGATTTTAACTAACCAGAAGGTATTTTGATATCCTATTATAGCATATATCAACTAAATATTTTGGAAGTTTAGTATTTTTGTTTAAATGTTTAAATATTTTGTTCAATGATCTCTATTGGTCAAAACAGTTGTCTTTATCTAGAACAAATTGATAAGAAACTTTATCAAGAAAGAAACAATGTGTACAGCACTTAGTATTGGGCATAGTAAGTCTGATTGAAAAATATTTTTATAAGTAGTTATGCCTGACGATATCATTGACTTTTGATTTCTCTTAATCTGTGATGATACTTGACTCAAAGAATATTTTGGTGCCAATCTGATTAAAAATTACATAGATAAAATATGTGGAAACATATTTCTTATCCTAAAAGCCAAACCCTTTGATATTTACCGGCCAGTTGGGACAGGTCTTCAGGTGTAAAATATATGCAGGTGCATATCCGATGTGAAGGACATATATATATATATATATATATATATATATATATATATATATATATTATATATATATATATATATATATTATATATATATATTATATATATATATTAGAAAATCATGACAACATTCCATTTTCACGATAAAGCATTACTAGACACAAGACTACTCTCGATAAAGCATTACTAGACACAAGACTACTCTCGATAAACCATTGAACCTTTGCTGGTGGATACAAGTCAAACATTCTTTATTTGCCCTCGCGAAAAATAGCATCCTTTGCTACCTAGTTGATGTGTCACAAAAATCACTATAGAGAAATTGCTTTACATTTTACTGTATTTATGAACGGATTTCTTCAGAAAATGTATTTTTATTTCTCCATTACTTAAAAATATTGACTTTCATCTGACTAGTGAATTTCCTCTACCTTTACTTCCCTCTGAGCTAAAAATCTTCCTTCAATAGACACCTCACCCACCATCTATAACAAATATGAATCTTCTAATTCTTATAAAGAAAGCATTTTTAGAAATTTTACAAAAAAATCATATGATTTAATTCTCTATACCGATGCTCCTAAAACTACTACTGGTATAGCTCTGCAGTAACCACTAAACATGAACTTATAAGATCATCTCGGTTACCCTTAACATGCAGTTTACATAGGTGAACTATATAGTATTCTGTTGGCTTTTAAATGCATTTCCCATTAAAACAGACATATTGCCATTTGTTCAGATTCCCTTTCATCTATCTGTTTAGTCATTTTATCCATTAGTTCAAAACATTCATGACATATACCAAAATCTCTCTGCTCACAACGTGACGATGGCTGCCTTCTCAAACCAACTCGTCATTAACTTAAACCGTTCATTGGTTATTTCTCCCTGAACCTCCAAACTAAAAGAGAAGCATTGATTATTAGAAGACCCTAAATCAACTACACCAACTTACACATGGTTTCTTAATTCAGTAACTTCGTCAAACTTGCCACCATTGCAATGTTTACCTGGCTGTAAAACACATCCTCACAGACTGCAAACAATTGACCAAACTGTATAAAGCACTGGACTTGAAACCTACTCTTAAGAAAATGCTCAACAACCCTACAGACATCACAAAAACTATACAGTTTCTAAAAACCGCTCAACTCTACCACAAGATATAACCTAATAGACATTAGTTAAAGTGATATAATAATTATTTGTTTCCATTATTTATTATATATTTAATATCATTGTTCATGTACCAATGGCCATAGTTGTCAAAGTACTTTATGTACAAAAATAAATAACTCATTAATAAAAGTAGCCAAATTATAAAGTTATATATAATATAATAAAAACTATATTATAAAAATATATTTGAAAAGTATACATAAAATTGTAAAAACTAGCTAATTGAAATAACTTACCACAAATTAACATGTCATATCTTGAAGCATTGAAATACTGTGCAAAGATATTCTTCGTAAATTCATAACTACTAAAATACAAAGCGTGTGAAGGTCCAGCTCCAACTACCATCGCTGACATACCTCGAATGGGCCTCAAAATACCTTCATGTCGAATCATCCTTAACAGTGTTTCACCAATACCTTCAGTTCCTGAAGTTGCTAGGGACTGCATTCGTGTCTAAAAATAAGTATGTCAACATTAGAATAAATTATATAAATAGAAAATTTTTTGTTTATAATAAACAATGCACCTAAAATGTATGTAGAATCCGAGAACTACATAAAGAACATTAATGTACTTTCATAATATTTTTCCAGTACAATTTGTAGATCCTAACTGTAGTATCTGGGTTTAGAAATTAATGCCCAGAAATGGGGATATAATATAGTATTCCTGTTGTCCCTATATTGTTGTCCTTGAATTGAAATTTGTGATTGAATATCATTATAGTTCCCTAGAACTATTTTTTATTGTCTCACTCCTTGTAAATCTTTTCTATTACCAGACAGTCAAAAATTACAGAAATGTCACAAATAGGAAAAGTAAGACTTTCTCATTGTCTACCAATGTATCTCTGTAATAAATGGTCGTAATCATCATCATAATTATCCAGGTTCAAAAGTCCACAGCTGAACATAGTCTATCTTGAGCCACTCTCATCCAATTTTTATTTTGTCTTCTTAAATTGCCAGCAAATCTCAAATTGTCATAATACCTTGTTGGATTTGTTTTTTTTTTTTTAATATAAGGAACAGAGCATTTTCAGCAACAATTGATACACTATTTATGGAGAATTGTCATCTTGTTCCCTACAATGTTCTGATTTCAACCAAAATAAACGAAAAACCTGGTCAATATGACGAAAGTTTTTTTTTTAATTAGAACTTTAGAAGTTTTATTGAACATTAAAGCTTAACTAATTGGAATTATTGATACTGTTTTAAAGATGCGAATTTAACTGTCGAATATTTTTATAATACTCTAATCTAAGATATTTACCTATTTGTTTCATATAAAACAGCTAAATGATATTAATTTTATATGTAGAATGTAAATGATGAATATATGCCGTATATTCAGAACCTATAAAACTAATAATCGGGACCATTGTAAATTATGGGAGTGAAACATGGATCTTAATACAGAAATCAAAAGAATCTGGTAGATCGAGATCTTTGGACAAGCTACCTGAAAAAGGCCAAATTCCTTGGATTGGTAAAAACTAGGATCCAACAAGACTACCTGATGTTTATTGCTGGGTTCTTACTATAAAATTCCTAATGCTGAATGTAACAATGCTTATATCTATTCTACAGGACATAATATATCCCAACGAACCAGTGTTAGCAACCCTGGAGTGAGATTATTGTGCTAGGGTCATAAAATTCTAGTAAATTTGACAAAATTATAGTATATGAGAAAAGAATTGAGTTTTTACTGGTACGCAAGTAATATAAACACAAACTATCAAGTATATAGTTCACAATCAAGGTTATATACATTTTTAAATTTTATTTCTAGTGTTCAGTAGTTGGCATATGTTTACATGGATCAATATACTATCTAAGCTCTGATGTCACAATGGACATTTCCAAACATTTCTAATTTGTGTATATTTGTGTGTATTTACTTTTTGTTATGAACATTTATTCTGTGAGATTGGTATTATTTGTTGTTCGTGAATTTGTGAGGTAAAAATATCAAAGGATTAATATGTTTACTATGAATGTACATATTTTAAGGTTATGTTACAGTTTGTTTGAAACTTTAAATATTTGTTACTGTATTTCAAGGTATTCAGTTGTTGTTTTTATCTGGGTTATTTCAAAATTAATCAATATATCATTGAATTTATTTACGAAGTTAAAAAACATTTAGATTAATGTTTTAATCTTTTTTAATGGCTAGTGATTTTATCCTCTAAAAGACTAAATAGAGAGTTTTTAAGCCCCTTATTTCAGTAACGTTAAACGTTATTCTACTCATGCGCATTAACAGAAAAATAACGGATTACTTTATTAGCGGATAAGGTATTTCCTTATTTAGGTAAAGATAAGGTTAACGTTATTAAGGGATTACGTGTTTGTAATGTTGTCAAATGCCAGATATCTAAATCATAAAAAACAAAAAAAAGTCATATGAGCAGAACCAAAGATAACTAGAATAAAAAATATAGAAAATTTAGTTCAGCATCTTTCTCTTCAATTGTTTCCAACACAAAATGTAGTCTTGGTACAACAGGGATTACAGGATCAAAAATATTAAGCCTTTTATCAAATTGTGATCTATTACTTCTCCGTGTCTTCGTCGTCTTAATATATTTTCTTCCATTATAGCAAATAATTCAAATAAAATAGGTTATAGAGTATACCGTGGTATAACTGCCGTTTTATAGGTTACATCCGTCAAATGTCAATTAACGTTAATCTTTCATAGCTTAATTTCCGAAAGGATTCAAAAACTATTTTAAGTAAAAACGTTATCACTTATTTATTATTCAAGGCGCATGACAAGTATAACGTTTTACGTTTAACGTCCATCGAAAAGTAAAGGACCTAAAAACTCTCTAATATATTCGTTTTCTCGTGTTTTAAATAGTTAATAGTAGTTTTGTTGTCATTACTGAAAATTCAGTAATGCTGGATATCTTCAACACTTGTTTACTAGCCATCATATGCACAGATCTAACAAATAAACTGAAAAATTATTACAGCATTAAAAAAAAAAACATTTTTTTAACACTCATTATGGTAATTTGATAGAAAGGTTTCCAAAGAATGTTATATTACAACTTAAACTGTGAGAAAACGACTATCTCTAGTATTTTAAAAGGATAAAATATCTGGCAACGAAAAAAGAATAAAACAATAGTTTAAATATTTTTTAACTTCGTAAATAAATTCAATGATTTATTGATTTATTTTGAAACAACCCTGATAGAAACAACAACAAAATACCTTGAAATACAGTAAAAAAATAATTAAAGTTTTAATCATACAATAACATAACCTTAAAATATGAACATTCATAGTAATTATCTTAATACTTTCATATTCTTACCTCACAAATTCACGAACAACAAATAATACCAACCGCACATTATGAATGTTCATAACCAGAAGTCCTTATTCTTCAAACAATTAAAAAAACAATTAGATATGTTTGGAAAGGTTTTTAAATGCTCCGCCCATTGTGACGTCAGACTTATGTACTTACAACGCAACAGTCATAATTTATGCACGGAATAAATAACATTTTGAAATTAATTACGAAAAATTTATTTTTTTCCTGTCTAAAAAAATATAGTGGGGTTTCTGAAAACTATAGTGGGTTTAACGATTATTGTAAAATCATAATAGTATAATGTAAAAAGGCGTGTAATTATAGTATATCTAAGTCCCCTAAATATACCACTTAACCAGATGACAACCTCCAATACTACTTACATTCTCTTTAACACCTTCATCACAGCGATACCACAGACACAAAATACAACACATATCAAATGTTTCTTCTTGTTCCTCATGCTATATGCTAATACTTACTACACTACAGAGCATAGTATAAGGTGTGAGGTGTGCCGTGTGCCCTCCACAGCACACTCCCACCTTTAATTTGTCTGTGGTGGCCTCACGACGGTGCGGGACGCCGAGGACCTGTACATGTCATGATCTAAATGTTTTCTAGAAATCTCTCAATGTTCGATTATTAGCTAACAGATGTCGATAGTTCAAAGAGTGCCTTGTGTAGAATTTCGCGGAAAATCGCATAGCAACCGATATGACGTTCAGGACCACTGGAGGGTAACCCTACCCGTAATATAATAATTGCGATCCTAACATGGTATGCGATCGGTTTTCCGATCTTTTTTCGATCGGAAAAAAATTATTTATAGTTTGTACAGAAAAATACACTAATATTTTAACAAAATTAACAAAATTTTAACACATTAAACTTACTATAACGTTTCAGTTTATTTTACAATCAAACAATTTTTAGACACATATATTTTTCCATTGTTTTATAATTGAATACTCCGATTCTATTTGTAAGACACGAGGTAGAATCTATATAAAATGTAGATATATGTATGAAGATGTTTAAGATTGTAAAATAAACTTTTTATTATAAAATTTTATCACTACAGCTGTTTCGGCAGAGTGCCTTTCTCAAGTTATCATGGGATGGGATGATGAATTGTGTATAGTCGTGTCAGTATGGGTAGGTTTATAAAATATGGAGAAGTCAGGTTTGTTTTTAAGTCTGATAATTTTTAAATCTAAAAAATTTATGGATTAATTTTTTTTATGTTTTTATTGTAAATTCAATATGTCTATGAAGTGAATTAATATATATGATCAAAATTGGTCGAGTTGCCTGTTAGTTCCTATGAAACATACCAGTGTGTCATCTATGTATCTCTACCAATATAAAAACTGTTTGAATATGGGATGTTTTGAAATCTCTGCCTTGAGATGATCCATAAGAATATTTGACAGCAATGGGCTTAGAGGATTACCCATTATAATTATTACATCTGAAATTTTACATCTTCTTGAAATTTGCATAAACCAGTGCAGGACTTATAATGGGCAATCCTCTAAGCCCACTGCTATCAGATATTTTTATGAATCATCTACAGACAAAGATTTCAAAACATCCCATATTTAAATAGTCTTTATATTGGTGGAGAAAGATAGACGACTTACTGGCATGCTTCATGAGAACTAACAGGCAACTCAACCAATTTTTATAGTATATTAATTCACTTCATAGTCATATTGAAAATACAATAGAAATAGAAACAGAACAAAATCAAACCATAAATTTTTTAGATTTAAAAATTATCAGACTTAAAAACAAACATGACTTCTCCATATTTCATAAACCTACCCATACTGACACGACTATACACAATTCATCATCCCATCCCACACAACATAAACTGGCAGCCTATCATAGTATGTTACATAGATTAACTGAAATTCCGATGTCAAAATACAACTTTGAGACAGAATTAAATATCATTAAGCAAATATCAGTAAACAATGGATACAACGAACAAACGTTTAATAAAATTTTAAATAAAAAACTACACAAGAAAGCCCTGATATTAGTATTTCCACAACCAGAGAAAAAACCCAGTACCTTCTGTTTGATTACATATAGAGGCAAAA